GGGGGGGGCATTTGCCCCCCCTCTTGCCCCCCCCCCCCCTGGCGCCGCCACTGATTTTTAATAAGAATCTAAAACTTTGAGTGTCCAGACTTAGTCAAGAATTAGTATTTTTCTTTTTCAGATTATTTCAAATTTGTATATACACATAATTTATTAGATGGACCATTCTTTTATCATATTTTCGCTGTTAGCTTAATCTCCGTCACATTAAATCTAAGGAATGATATGTTGCTGAATGCCAAAGTGATGTGTTAATTTTTTTAGAGTGACAGCCTCAGACGGAAGCGCCACCACACCTGCAGACTATGTACTACTTGATTCCACCGTACAGTTAACATCGAGTGTTTCAAGACATGAAATCAGAGTTAGACTTACTAATGATATAAATCTGGAACACAATGAAACATTTACTCTGAATCTAAATAATAGAGGAGATACTCGTGTTCGTGTATTAGGAGTTGGACAAACTACCATTTTGATCGTCGATGATGATGGTAAGTGATATTTCTAATCTCGAACGGTCGGTCCAGTGTAGGTAGTGACGACAACAAACAGCTGATATGAGAGATATAACTACTTGGAGCGAAGGTCCTTCGTCGCGAAGTTATATTATTAGTATATCATGATCGGGAAAACTATACATGCCGCTTTAGTGAATATATTTTTCGCTATAGATCATGAAAGCGATGTTTCTCCACATCACACAGAAACAATATGAAGGGGATATCAAAACCAAGGGTATCCACCTCAAAACCCGGGGTATCCACCTCAAACCCAGGTTATCCGCCTCAATTATTGATTAGTATAATATACCTTCTGACTAACTATGTACACTTGTTTGTTAATTTAATGTAGACTGACGTATATATATATATCGCAACTTTCTTTGGATTTTTTGGTTCAAGGAGTTGAATCAACTCCAAAAGTGTTATTCTGTCACAAAAAACAAAACAAAACAAAAAACGTTCAGAAAGGGTGAAAGAATAACTTTCGACTCCTTGAAATTTACAGTGTTGATTGATGATTTGAAATGTTGACAAATGTCAGTTTTGAAACCATGCGTATATTTACCATTATAATCTCCAGATCACTAATTCAGCTGCATGACCGAAAATTAACACCACTTCTTTCTCAATGAATTTTGCACGTTCAATCTGTATGTTCGTCTACGAAATCCTGTCTAGTATATAAATTATGACATGTTTGTCTTTTTTACCTTAACCAGCCTCGTTCCCAGGCAGTCGAGAAGCCCTTTCTACTTGCTCCCCTTTCTACTTGCTCCCCTTTTTTTAACAGCTTTTTGTTTGCGACATAGTTCTATTTCCAGTCCTTATCCGCATTATCCGTTAATTTATCCGTCTCCATTTGTATAATAAATTATAATAGGAATTTAAGACAGTTTTTCGGCTAGATAGATTTGCGGAAAACTTTGGACCGGAAAGTCGTCGGTTATCGGGTTCATGTGAACCGAGTTTACCGCCTAATATAAATTCGGCTACTTTCTAACTGCTACTATAAACCTCTACCATTACGGCAGAATAACTGGCACGCAATCCTTCGTTTTCAATAATTGTTGAAAGTGTATTTTGCCTCCTTTTCAGCTGCTACAATACAGTTTGTACAAGACCTTTACTCCGTTAATGAGAGTGATAATTCTGTACTTGTTTCGTTAAGTATCGTTGGAGTACTTGAGGATCCTGCAGTTGTTAGGTAAAAGCAAAATAATATTCTAATATCTTTGTTGATTTTTTTTATATTTGCACTTCATTTGGGGCTATCTATATAATCAATTTGTGTCATCCTCCGTATACGTCCTGCCTCTCCAAGAGTATTCTTAATTCCATCTCTCCATTATCTTTTCTTCAAACAGTTTTCTTTCATGATTTCTTACTGCAACTGGCAATCATCCATTCTAATCAAATATCCAAGCCTTTCACTATGCTGCATGTCTACGCAACTCTTTTTCTGGCTTTCCTGTACAGTATACTTCGTAACATTTTCGTATAGGTCTACATATATGTTACAACGTTTCCACAATAACGAAGTAAAAATTAAAGAAACGATTATGGTGGTATCAACTCTGGTTCCAGATTTCCCATGAAGCATATACAGTATATAATTGTGCTTTCAATTACCACAATGTATGGTTGTGTTAGGAATTTAAAAACAACGAATAATATTTCAAAATTATTCAATTTTTGTTCCTGATTGACCAAGTAGCCTATACCCGGCTAATTCTCAACATCCGGCAGATGTCACAAGTTCACAATGGCTTGTGGTCTCTTAAAACGGAACTGCCCAAATTATTGTAAGAAAAAGGCAGCAGTACCAATAATTTAGAACGGTGTTTTTATAAAACCATCTTCAACGTTACGAATATTGTCATTCTTGGCTTTTTTGTGTGTTCGATAACATTGACCTTGGTTTGAATGATTCTTGATATCATCTCGAACGATCTGTGCCGGCGTAGGTAGTAACAAAAACACCAGAGAAATGCAGATGGATTCAACTATAGTTAAACAATTTAATTTGTATTTTTCAGGTAGTTGAATCCATATCCATCTGCAATTTTCTTGATATCATGCTCATCCTCTTGCAATAGTTACTTCTTGTCATAACATTTCACAACATATAAACATTACGTAAAATATCGTATTAAAACTTGACCATGATGGAATCAACTTTCGCATGAACTAATGAAGTGGATTTTTGTGGATATTAAAATAACAATAATAATTATTTTTAGAGTGTCAAGTAGGGATAATTCAGCCTTCGCTGGGATAGACTACGACAGAGTTACTAATCATGAGGTGACATTTGTCAATGGTGGCGCAACTATCCAATCCTTCACTGTTAATATTACTGATGATAGCCTTCTTGAAGGAACAGAATCATTTTTCTTGGACGTTTCATCTTCTGTTAGCAACATAAGAATTGGTGATAGAACATCTACAACGATACGAATAATTGATGACGACAGTAAGTTATCGATTGTTCCTACACTACAGTAGTTAATTCTGTCGTCAAAATTGTTTCCTTTTAAAAGTCTTTTTGAAGTTTTTTGAAATTCTCCTAAAATGTGGAGTAATTTCAGACAATTAGACAATTTATTATTATGCTCCTTAAAAAATCGTTACGTATTTTGTAAATAAATTAATGTAAATTAATACAAATTGAGTAACTCTATAATTCGTAAAAACTTATAATTCGTAAAAACGTCTGGGGGCCAAATAACTAGTGCACAAATATTACCAGGGAAACAAATATTACATTAATTTATATAAAAATGGCAAAAAATATGGACAGACATGTTGATATGCTACTGGTGACATGTTAATATGCTACTGGTGACATGTTAATATGCTACTGGTGACATGTTAATATGCTACTGGTGACATGTTGATATGCTACTGGTGACATGTTAATATGCTACTGGTGACATGTTAATTTGCTACTGGTGACTTTGGGAAAGTCAAACAGTGTGTGATTCTGATTTGGTCAAAACACCAATTTGGCACACTTTTTTTGGGCGGTAATAAATATAATGCAAGGAAAATCGGCTTTCTATACGAAAAAATTAGTTATTGCTATTTTTTAGTGTGTTTTGGTTCACGAAATAGTAAAGAGTGCTCGGTATCACATATAGATAGAGCAGATAGTGTAGTTTTTACCTCAAAAGGTTGCCACTGCAGACTGTTGCATCCGATAGGAATCATCAGGTGATAGTGGCAACCTTGAGGTAAAATCTACATGTTTACTTATTGCATGTTATTTCTATATTTCTAGTTCAAAAATATGTTGTTTATAAATTATTCCATATGACGTTTTGCAGTTTTTTTATGCAGATACTATAGTGTAGATAAAAACGAGATCATGGCAAACAAAACTCATCTTAACCATTTTTTATACAATTTCAATACAATTTCTAATGTAGGCGTCAGTGTGGAATTTGTAAAAACGGCAGATAGTATACAAGAATCCAATGCTGTCCTGCGAGTTGACGTTGAAATTCTCGGTCAACGTAGTGTTCCTGTTGTTGTTAGGTAAGTATATCTTGTGTTGTTTTGATTCCTTAATTCTTATTTTATCCGTACATTTTCATTATTGACCAGGAACTCGTGTGATTCGGAGAAATGTTACCCAGAAGTGCGAGCGTTATGTTGCGAAACTCCCTTGGATCTTGGATATAAAAGTAGTGAAAACCTATCAAATTTCACATCCATTTCAGCTTTCGTAGCGCCTTATGTTGCACACTTCACTGCATCTCTGTGTTTTACTTGAGCTGATCTTATGCTTTAACGTATTTGTCAATGCAAAATATTAAATATGCTTTAATATATCTGTCAATTATATTATATATTTATTATAAAAATAAACTAACACTGCGGTGAAAGATCTTCATCTTGAAAGGATTGTGCCCAGTGTAGGTATAGTGAACTTCCTGACGAGGGGCCTTCGCTCGAAACGTCGAAGTTCTCCTTATATTTTTCAAGTATGTAGTTGTACCCATAGAGATTATAAATAACACTAGAGGAGGCACCGAGGTTAAAATTTGGGAACGCAGCTAATAGGGAGCAAATTTAGGTCCCGGATACAAAATTATGCTCTCATTGGCTAAATTCAAAGTCCTCACCAATGGGAACACGAGTACACATCCGAGACTTGAATTCCCCCCCCCCCCCCCGATGCCTACTCTAGTGTTATTTATGATCTCTATGGTTGTACCCCTATCAATCCGAAGCTTTCTTGTTAATTGTTATGTTTTATTATTGTTTGTGTAACTGAAAACAAGGTGTGACCCTACACCCTCGGATTAATGTGTGCAGGAATTTAAATTGACTTTTAATCTAGTTAATTTACAACTGAACTTTTTTTCACTTCCACAGAGTCGTGTCAAACAACTTACTTGCTACTGCTGGTGACGACTACAATGCAGTTGATGCAACAGTCACTTTCCAGCCAAGTGAAACACAAAAGTCGTTATCTGTAATCATACGTGAAGACACAAGGGTCGAAGCTGACGAGACGTTTGTGTTAATTCTTTCCACTGATACTGATGGAGTTACTCTAGGTGACAGGGCAATGACAATTACTATCACAGATGATGATGGTAAGTATGATCTAAATCTACCAAGATTAGAAACCTCTATTCAACCATTGCAAGTAGCGTGATAGTACACAATCCACGTACGCAGTTTTAATTCCCGCCATTTGGGGCTGCAAATATTTAAAACTAAATAAGTCTATTACTAAGTTTATAAAACTAAAGAGTCAATTTCGCAGGTTTACTTGGGTAGAGATCACCCTAGACCTAGGACCTTTACTCAGCTACTTTCACAGTTTCATCAATTTTTGCATGGGTCCCAGTCTTCTCATGTGAAAAAGCGCTGAAATTAATTAAAAATAGAATTCCTAGGTCTAGGCTAGGAAGAAGTGCTGTTTATCGCTTGTATTTCAACATGCTTAATATGATATCAGAAAGGAAATCTTCTGGTGAATCCAAACAATGGGTTTCCTGCTGTGACGGCTGTCTCTTAGCGTGACCCTGGCGTGACGTAAAATTTCCGCGTGTAGCCGTTTTCACATTAGAAGACGGACAAGTCGTCTAGATGAACAAATCGTCTTAAATCGTTGGACAAATCATCAGATGTGAAAACGTGTCGGACAAAATTTTAGACGAACAAGTCGTCTGAATTTGTTCGACTACTTGTCCGTCAGGGGCGATTTGTTCGTCTAGACGACTTGTCTTCAGAACTTTTGAGCAGGAAAATTACTCAAATCTCTCACTTTTTAGTGCAAAGTTGACGAAGTCAAGTTTGTACTATTGTTATGATGGGGTACAAGCATTACGTCATTACGCGAGTCAACAATAGATGCAAAGAACTATACTGTAAACAATCCGGGGGTGCACTTGCAAATTATGTTCAGTGGATTTGCAACGTTAATCCTTATTCTATGACGTTAGCACTTAGCATTCAATTTTACATTACACGTACGTTAGCATTCAATTTTACATTCATTACATTTTACATTAAATTCAATTTTACATTTTTATTCACAGCGACAGATGTTCTTATGACTTGCATGGCCGCTCTTACCTTTAATCATTTTTTTAAGTACGATCGCCCAATTTTTAAGTACAGTCTGCCCGACTTTTAAGGACAAAATTCCCAAACAAGGCATGCCATGAATGGCAGAATTTCATAGAAGCGATTTTTGGATGCGATTTTTAGAAACGATTTTAGAACGTCATTCATATAATTGAATTTTAATTGACAATTTTTTACCGTTTTTATTTTACGTTTCTCACCCGCCGATGCATTTAAAATGGTATGGCTATCTGTAGGTTTTGAACGCTAAATAGGCGACATAGAAAGAATTGCCTGATTGATGTTTTCTTGTTGCAGTTGCTACGGTCCGCTTGGAGCAGAGCACTTACACGGTCAATGAGAGTGTATCATCATTCACAATTGGTGTTATACTGGGCGGGGATCGTTCAATTGCTATCGACGCTAAGTAAGTTCTTAAATAAAATTGGTAATTAAATGAAAACTAAATTACCTCGGGTAATTACTGACATGATTAAAATATTCAGGTAGCCAGTTTGTGAACTGGGGCCGGTTGTACGAAGGCCAGATAGCGCTATCCACCGGATAGTGATTTTTCAAGCTTTGTAAAATCAGTCGTTGATTGGTATAACTCGTATTAAAGTTTAGTATTTATAAGTTAAATGTTTTTTATACTTCTTGTGTCGTCTATATCTGTAGTTTCACAGTTTTTTCAAGCATTTTACAAAGGTTGAAAAAATCACCGTCCGGTGGATAGCGCTATCCAGCCTTCGTACAACCGGTCCCTGATGTTTAGTAAATGTATCTTTTAGTGTAGTCAGTCAATTAACGTTCATATATTTCTTTTTAGTGTGGCACTTACTCCAGACACTGCAGTCGTGGGAGATTACCTCGTGGGTAATGGTGATGTAACATTCAATCCAGGAGAGACACAGAAGCAAATTACTGTTTTTATTAGTAATGATAATATAGTAGAACCTTTGGAACACTTCAGGGCAACACTCACTGCTGGCTCGAAAGCAATTGTTGTTACACCTAGTCAAGCCCAAATTTTCATCCAAGATGACGACGGTACGTTTTGTCATGCGTATTAGCTTAATAGAACTTACCTTTTATTGCACTCTTACCTTGTTGGCCTCGTTTTCATGTCTGCCTGTTGTAAGCATGGCAGGTGCATGCGCATGAAAACGATACCATTGCCATTCAAATAAATAAATAAACGGTAAGAAGGGGTAAATCAACGGTAAGATCTGAACAAGTAAGAGTCAATTACCAAGCTGTTTTGTTCGGTCCACATGTTTTTTTGGTAGCATTATTGATCATTGATATGTAGAGAACGTCATGACGTAATATGTAGTACAAGCGATGTTGATTGCAAGTCACTGTTCTAGTTTGTCGGTGCATTACTTAATGTGTATTTGTACTTTTGTAGTTGCTCAAATTCGATTTCAAAGTACTCCACATTCTGTCAATGAAGCGGATAGAATTGTTAATTTGACTGTGGTTTTATTAACCAGCCAGCCACTGGGACGAGCTGCCACTTTCAGGTAACGTTAAAGCTACGACCGTCATTTTTCTTCGGTCAGTGTGTAACGTATTAGCAGTAAGTCTTGCCAGTCTCCATGTTGTATTCCCTCCCCCAGCAGTAAACTATCCATCCCAAGGGGAGGTTTTTTGTCGCAAATATTTTGAAAATAAAAAAAGGAATAAAATATAGTTTAGAAGATTTGCCATAACTAAGCAAGTACCTTGGTTCTTGCTATATTCTGAATTTAAGTCTATCTATGGTTGGGATGTGTAAAATATTCTGCCCGAAGATGCAACAATATCAAAATATTTTGTGGGGAGGATCCTCCTCCCCCCCCCCCCCGTACTAATTCGCACGACGCCCTGTCTTTAAGGTCGAGGCTTGCAATCCATTTCAGCGACAAGTTCATCAGATGTGAGAAGTGTTCATGTTGTGAAGATGCACGATGTCTATCGAATAAGTGAGCAATGTGATTCCTTCTTTTTTAGTTTCTCTACCCAAGATGGAACAGCAGTGTCTACAAACAATGTAGATTACGACAGAGTTGCTGGTTCCCTTGCAATATTCAATGCAGGTGACACCGATGGTGCAACAAAACAGATTTCAGTCTCAATTATTGATGATTCAAGAACAGAAGCGACAGAATCGTTTACAGTCACACTCTCGGCTGTTAATGGCGGTGGTCTCGTGCCAACAACCTCATCCACTGCAACTGTTAACATTGTTGATAATGATAGTATGTACTTACTCTTTCTCTGTACATGTACTGATACACCTAGAATCTTATAATGAAAATACGAGCCCAGCATAATATTTAAAATGGAGCCATACACACATTGTCATATATTTATATATAAAAGTCAGGGTTATTTATCACTACACTCACTTGAACCCCGCACTGAAAAGTTTAAATTCGGGGCTGGAAGAAGAATATTTGTCCGAGGAAAATGTAATTATTCCTACCACTAAAATTCATATTCCTACCTTAAAAATTCCTAAAATCTTTCTAGACGGGGGGGGATTTATTCATAAAAAGTTTAGTTAAATTCGGGGGTGGAAGAAGAATTCTCCGAGGAAAATGTAATTATTTCTACCACTAAAATTCATATAGCCACCTTAATAATTACTAAAATAAGTTCTTTGTATGTTTGCATGGCGATAAAATATAATAGTTTTTTTTAATAAAATATAATTTACGTGGTGTTTCCACAAACAAAACTATTATAATTACTAAAATATTTCTAAACGGGGGGGGATTTATTCTTATTCCTACTCTTATTCCTACCCTACCATCTTTCTTATTCCCCCTACTTCAAAACCCAGTATTCAATATTCATCTTCCAGCCCCAATTAAATGAAGTGAAAGACAAGTTTAGTACTGTTTGATAATTTACTTAATATTTTAATAACACTAGCATTTAATATTAAATCATATATATGGCCGTTGCCTAGAAGTACTAGCTTCTGTTCATAGTCTACCGTTGCTTAAGGTGATTCGTCAGTAATTGTTCTGGAAATGAGAATTTGCTGAAACTTCCCAGGGGTGAAGTTTATAATAGAGGGGGGGGTGGGGCAAAGGTATTTTCGTGACTCGTGATTAGCAATTATTCGTGCTTCGTGATTCGTGATTTAAAGAAATACCATTCCGTGAATCGTGATTAATATGCGTGCCGTGAATCGTGAAGAGCTAAAAGGCTAGCTAGGGTCTTGAATTTACCAGTATTTTACCCTAACTTGTGAATGTTTACGTTTAAAACTCGGCCCAAATTTAATATTATGGGGAAAAAATGAATAAATTTGCTTCCCGCGGTTGTCGTTCTTGAGGTTTCTTCGTTTCATCGGTAAACATCGTTATCGTATACCTTCGTACCTCTTTGTAAACTTCGTCAACCATCGTACGACGCTCGTAATATTTCGTAATGCCTCGCAATGATTTCCATAGTCCTTTAAACGGCCCTAATGTTAAAGTCAGTATGTGTTAAATGGTTTCAAACTTTGTTACGCTTCTGTGTTTCTAACTCGTGAAAATGAAATTTTGTTTTTCGTGACTCGTGAAATCGAAAAATTATCTTCGTGATTTCGTGACGAGACCCCCCCTTGCCCCCTCATAATATGCTCATAGTACATAAAAACAGAAAAACGTTGGGGTCACCGAACTCATTTCGAAGATATAACAAGTGCATTATGCCACCTTTTCCCCGCCCATATGGCGCCGTGTTGACCCTTTTACGAATTACAAGAACAACGCAATTGCTCAACCGTTACTGAATTTTTGTAACAAGGATCCTACTAAAAATGTCTCTAGTGATTATATACAAGAAAACATTGTATTTTCGCTAATCAAAAACCGTTGACGCGCATTGTTGTGGTGCAGAGATGTCTTTTCCCATCTTCTCAGACATGTCAGACATGATTTTTCTCTTATTTTCTGACATGGCATGTAAAACGTATAGACGAACAAAAATATAAAATAAAAAGTAGGGTCACGGACCTTCTTAAAGAGATACAAAGGTTAAACATGCAACATGATGTGGTTTAGTGTCAGTTGCACAGAGAGCCGTAGTCAGAGTTCTGTCATTTTTGAAGGTATATTTCCTGAAACACGCCTATTCAATGCAGAATTTCTTTCTCTTCGCCCTTACTCTTTCTTTATCACTTCACATTGCAGTACGACTACATACATTAGCTAGAATTTGTTACTAGATATGCGCAGTAAAAGTGCGCAATACAAAACTGATGAATCACCTTAATAGTATTTTTATTTATTTAGATGCTATCATAAGATTTTCACCTGACTCATATACCGTTCTGGAGAGTCAAGGGAGCGTTTCTCTATCTGTCGTACGGATTGGAGTAATTGAAAGACCAGTATCAGTATTGTAAGTTTTCATAAGCTTTATGACATCGCTTCTTTTTAATTTCTGCTCACTATAGGACTGTTCTGGTCACTGGAATATAATTAATAATAATTTGAATTAAAGACAATTGCAACATATTCATTTTCAATTGGAAATACTAAATTCCTAATTATACAGTAATACATCAAATCAAATCAAATTCATGACTTAAGCATTAAAGTTCGCGTCACCACTAATTCTATAAGTTATACATTTTAGTGTTATGTTTTATTATTTTTAGTGTGACCCTACAAGCTGGAACAGCAACACTCACTGATTTTACGAATGTTAGCGCAACGGTGACGTTCAATGTTGTTGATTCATCAGTCAAGTCTGTTCCTATTTCAATTACGAATGATATTATAATAGAAGAGACAGAATCGTTTACCGCCAGTCTTACTGCTGTCACCGGTGCGGTTGTTCCTAATGATGGAGATACAGCTACGATCACCATAATAGATGACGATGGTGGGTAAAATTTCTTGAGAACAAGTCGAACTCGAATTCTTACTAGTTAATGTTTTTAATATGTCTTTAAATTTGCAGTCATGCTTGCTTCGTCTTAGTTCGGCTTCGAGTTTTGTTACGTTTTTTGAATCAAATGATAAATTACATGTATTGCGAGATGTATGAATTGAAAGTAATTCTCCGGACAAGATAGAAAATGTTGTTGCTGAAGATTGTTTCCCAGGTATTTTTTACCAAATGTTGGCAACCCAGCACCAAAAGTCTCACGGTGTTGCAAAATATTTTTTTGTTCCTGGAAAACAAATCTTGTTTCCGCAGCAGTGTTTCCTAGATTCAGCCTAGGTCTTAGATAGTAACTGCCCCGTTTCTGTCGAACTTTAATACCAACTGAAGTCGCCCTAATCGAGTGCTTCTATTTTTTCTATTCGTTTGTATATCAGTTTGTGAGCAAGTTACTATATCTTGCTATCATGAGACATGTTTTCGCTCGCTACTTTGGTTTAAATAAAGGCATGCACAAGTTGTTAATCACATGGTTATTCACTGGATAATTTTCGTGCATTCTAGTTCTAACAATTGTCATGGAAGCGGTTCCCTCAATGGTAGATGAAGATGATGGCGTTGTTACAGTTATTGTAAGAGCAGTCGGAGGTCTACAGAGAACGATCAGTCTGAAGTAAGTATACATATGATTATTGAATATATAAAATCATGACTGTGGGATCCAGCGTTGGCCGCGGCAATGATTACAAAACATTGTGGACGATTTCTCCACTGCCACTGAATCTTTTTACAGTTTAGATTGAATAGTTGTCGAAAAATCTTCTACACACTTTTGAATACCTTGGATTAACAATTTTTAAACTGATTCTTTCAGCGTGTTCACATTTGATCTAACTGCATCTAATGGTGATTACGTTTCCAAGACCGAAGTTATTACATTGGATAGCGCAAATACTGCAAGAAATTTTGTTGTTACTATACTTAACGATAATACCGTGGAGAATACAGAAACATTTGGTGTTAATATTACAACTGACGAATCACAAGTTCGCATCCAAGATGAAACAGTAGTCATTACTATTCTGGACGAAGACAGTAAGTTTGATGAACCGCAATGCGACATAGCACTGCACATAGTTACAGTACAGTACAGTACAGTACAGTACAGTACAGTACAGTACAGTACAAGAACATAAGGAACCTACGCTGTACTACTTTTTGTATGTCTATTGTCAGGGTTAAGTTTTTGGTTGAGAGACACATAAACGTTAGATGCATGCTGGGTTGCATTGGTTTGGGCAGGTGTACTTACCCAATATCATAGTATAGTACATGTCAACACAGTACTGCACGCCTGCACGAGTTTATCCATGTAATGCCATGCAATGTTGTGTTTATATACTACACTATATGTAGTGCTATCTGCTCATGCTTACTCAGTGTATGTAAAGTAGTTTTTAAACAATTCAATTGTTGCCCTAAAGAAGCGCATGTTGTATTGATTCGATTCTCTCGTGTTCATAGAGTTGACATTGTCCATTTCTCAAGCATCATACACTGCTCAGGAGAACGCAGGTGTCACTACAGTCGGTGTGACTATTACAGGAACAACAGCTGTAATTGTTAGTGGAAGGTACGTTATACTCTGCTTCATTATATTTACATGTGTTTATGTGATCCCACCACTATCCCCCCGAACGAGTGTTTCTCCGGACACTTTCCGTTAGCATATTGAATTTTCATCGTCTTTGTCACACTCGCAGCCTATATAGCCTGCAGTCATTCACTTTAGTTCTCCGTAGTCTTCAACATAGTATGCGCGCTATTCTTCAAAATTAATAAATGTTTATTGAGCAGAATTTTATAAAAAGATTTTGAGAATTGAAAAGTCCGGAGCATTTTCTTGTTTTACTATACGAGACTTTCCAAAATCCCATTGTCAATTTGGCGACGGCTACGAGCATAGAGTATCCCCAAAACGAATCTCGTAGTCGTAGTCAAATCAGTTTTTTATTCTCTCTCGGAGGAAAGCGGGATGTCGGGAGAATGCCCACAAGCGAGAATAGAATCCACGAGTTGAGAGGTGTAGTTTTGTGGAGAAATTTTATTATCTATATTATCTACGTTAATTTTTATTCATAGCGTACTAAGTACAAGGGATGGATCAGCCGTCAATCCCGACGACTACCTGCCTGCAACTCAAAATCTTGTAATTGTTCCGGGAGAGAACAGTAAATCTATGATAATAACTATTGTAAACGACCAACTGACAGAAGGAAGTGAAAATATTATCCTGGAATTAACGACGACTAACAACGGTCAGATAGACATAGGAAGGAGCGCTGCTGTTGTGTTGATACAAGATGACGATGGTAACGTTTGATTTGCTCCTTCTATTCCCTGCATCTTTTAGTAGTATATGTGTTTATTTGTAATAGAAATAATGGAGGTCGTCTATATGTTTGAAATAATAGTAATGGGGGTGCATGGTGGGAACGATATTGGTAGAATCGTGGTTGGTCTATTGGCAGAATTAATAGTTGGTAGTAGTTGAAATGATCATAGTTGTGCAGTGGTAGTTTTTGCAGCTTTGTGTAGTACTGATGATTGTGGTGGTGGAACAGCAAGTGCTGATTGCTGAAGTTATTGTGGTGGCAGCTAGTGATGTTACAGTTTTTTTGTGGTGGCAGTGTATGATGATGGTACTATAGTTTATAATTGTAATAGCAGTCTGTGGTAATTGTGGAGGCAGTGGAACTTGTTGATGATCGTGGCAGTAGTAACATTGGTGGTAGAATTGCTAGTGGTGATGGTGCTAGTGGATGCACTGCAGTAGTATAGATTGTTATTGTGGTAGAAAGTAAGTATTGTAGTAATGAAGTATTCCAGATATCGACTATTTTTTATCTAGACAGGAAAGACGAAACACATTATTATATAAAGTTTGTTACTTTGGTAGTTTGTTATTATTATTATAGTTCAAAAGAGCATCGTAAAATTGCAGAATTTGGTTGCGAAATGTTGTAAAATACGGAAAATATAGCCCTGTGAAATTAGCAAATTTTGAGTATTTTAGTATTACGCGCAAAAAAATGCACTACTTTCGGCTCAAAAGTGGTGCATTTTTCCCCGCGTAATACTAAAACACTCAAAACTTGCAAATTTTACAGGACTATATTTTCTGTATTTTACAACATCTTGCAACCAAAGTTGGCAATTTACCAACTTAAGGATGTTCTTTTAAGCTATAATGATGGATTTCGTCCGTCTTGTCTGGATCAAAATTTAGTCTACAGTGTAGCTGGACTCATCCATTGTTATGGACGTGGTGTTAGTGGTTGTAGCGACACTGGTATTTGTAGTACATTAGTTGTAGTTGTGGTAGAATTCGTGGTGGTGATAGCGGTGGTAGAAGTGGTAGCGGTAGTGATGTTCGGTATAGTGGCAATTGCTGGTGCTAGTGGATACTGGATAGTTGTATAGTGGAATTATTGATAATGGCGCCAATGATTATAGTAGTGGCACTGGTGGTACAGGAAGTGGGAGTTAAAATGTAGGTGGTGCATGGTAGTTATAATCTGTATGGTACAGTATGATGATGGTAATTGTTGTACTTGCGGTGGTAGAATTAGTATAGTGACAGTTACGGCGGTTGTGGTGTGGCGGTTGTGGTAGTGTTTATAGTTGTAACCGATGTAGTAGTAAAGTTATGGCACTGTGGTATTACCAGTGTTAGAGCCGGTAGCCTTTAACGTGGCGTAGTAATAGTAGTAGGTGTAATGGTAGTGACAGTAGTAGTGGCCATGTTGAAGATTGTCGTAGTGGCAGTAGTTGAAGTAGTGTATGATAGTAACAACGAAGACTGTAGTACAATTTTATGGTCACGGATATAACTGGTAATGGTAATAGTGTTAATAAAGGTACTAGCAGTTTGTTGGTTGTGGCTGTACTAATGTTAGGGGTAGAATTAGTAATGATGTTAGGGGTAGAATTAGTAAAGTTTATAATTTAGTTGCAATCGTGGTAATAGCTTTTTTTTATTTTTCTTAACAGTCGCAACTGTTCAATTCTTATCCAATCAATATTTCGTTAATGAAACTGACAACAGTGTACTTGTCGCCGTCATTTTGACTGGATCCGTTGCTCAATCCACATTGGTCAGGTATGATATTTAACATTGAGTGGATGAAGTTGGGCATAATATGAACAATTATCAGGGCCAAACACAGACGCCTTTCTGCGCAAAGCGCCAATATGGCCGTGTACTGATTAATTGCTCTGCACGGACATTATACGGCCGATCATTTTGCCACATTAATTTCAATAATTTCTCCCTCGACTTCCTTTTCAACTTCGTAATATTGTCAATGTAAATTGACCAAATCAATTGATATGTTGTATAATTCAAATTACGCAAGTGGAATAGTTTCAATGCAATGTACTGTTCAACTTTTCGTTTTTGAGTTCTACAATGTGTCCGGTCATGTCCGACCAAACGCACATGGTGGTCTAGCATATTCTCAGACAAAGTTTTCAGAATTATATTGAACTCTGGACTCGAACTCACGCAATACTATTTCTACATTGTATCGATAGCATCATGTCATAGCCTGCTATAATTATCTATATCACATGAATATCACATCATTCACGTCACAACTCCTAAGCTGGTATGAAGACTTTGCAGTTGGCTATTAGCCAATCAAAAATCATGAATCATTTTAAACAAGTAACATTTTTTTTAATTAGTAAGCCACTGAAAATAGTGGTCGTAATTAATCAAGGAAATTTAATATTACGTTGAAATTGTGCAGACGAAAGTTTCGAGCGAAAATTATAAACATTTTAGACCTAAACCAGAGCAGTTACGAAAAATGCAAGTAGCACCGGTGCAGCGTTCTGACCACAAATCGGTGGCTACAAAATGAGCTAACACACGTTCATGTGTGTATACTAGGGTGATACGAATAAGGGTAAATATTCTAGATTTTGGGCATCTCGCTTTATAGAACAGAATGTTGGAGGTTTTGCAGATGGAAATTCCGATCGAAAACTATATATATATTATTTTATATAAAGCCATACATTTTTATGTATCGAGACACATGCATTAAAACCAGTGCAACATTGTTGGATGCACCATGCTGGATTGGTTTGAACACTATGTTTGGTAATGTTATATGATGTTAGAGATGTTGGATCAGTTTTGTCTTTTATCTTCGAAATTTCATCCAACACTCCCGTAGACCAACGACGTTGGACGATGTTGGAATACATGCTTCGAGGGGGCCTTAACGACATACAGATATTAGCGTAGCAGCAAGTTGTTCTCCGTAAGAGGTAATCACCAAACTTCAATTTTTTCTTGTTTTAGAGTGGATACTGCACAAGATAGTGCACTTGCTGCATTAGATTATGTTCAAATTGTTGATAGTCGGTTGACGTTCACCTCTGGTGGGGCTGTTATACAATATATTAATATCACTATACGAGACGATTCTTTCATAGAAGGGTCTGAAAATTTTACAGCTACCTTAACTTTGTTGTCACCTTTGGCTACTCTTGGCCCTGTTTCAACGACGAGAATAACGATCCTTGATAACGACGGTATGTTATTTGAGTCACAGCTTTTCTGCAGAATTCTTCGCAATATTTATTCATTACTGGATTTTTAATTAATTTGGAATATTATCTAGTTGCTGGAATCGGATTTGCTCTGAGAGAAATTACTGTGCCAGAAAATGGAGGACCAGTACAAATTGCTGTTGATTCAACTGCAAATCTTAACACTCCAGTAACTGTCAGGTATGCGAATAACAATTAGTAGGGCTAAATAATTGTTAATATTAAGGCAATCAGTAAGAAATTATTGCCGAAAATTTCGATCTCAAATGTTGCCCTGCTGATCTGGAAAAGGTGGAATCCTGGATCCTGAGGAGCATTTTCAATTTTTCACACATACAGGGAAGGATTTTGTTAAGGGATCATTATGTCATACTTCTTTATCTGTCATTTGAGACATATAACATAAATACACCCAAGTATATACTTTGTTGTTGCATAATATAGGGTCAAATGTTCCATTGATTTTATGCACGTTTGAGGAAATTCGAGAAAAGAATATTCAGGATCCGATGAACATTAAACACTTTTTCCAGGTCTTTTTCCCTGTTTGAAATGTTCTCTGTGTGTTGAAATTTACTCTCTATGCAACGTTTACGCAATTCTGTTTCCTGATTTGACCATTATTGGAAAATCTGGTTCGGAATTTGTGTGATAAATCCCATCTTAAATTAAGATCATGAAAATATTCTTCACAAAATTATCTGAAGATGAAGAATATTATCCAATTGTCAACAAACTAACCAGCATTGCCATAATAAATAATTTTCCCCGTTATCTTCGAAATGTTTTTTGCCCTAAGATAAGCCTATTTATAGAATGCTACGTATTACCGCATGCAACAAAAAAATTGTATCAATCATGCTATAATATTCTATTGTAGTATCACAGTTACGGGAATCACCGCTTCACCAAGTGATTACACAGTTGCTAATGATATCACATTGACGTTTACGGCAACTGGTCCCAGTCGTCAGTTCTTCAGTTTCACACCAATTAATGATACCCGAATTGAAAGTGATGAACTTGTAACGGCAACCTTGTCCACCACAAATCCTCAAGCTGTAATCCTTACAAGCCAAATTCAAATCACTATTGAAGACGACGACAGTACGTTATACTCTTTTCTTATTTCTTTTATTGGTGGTTTTTACCTTACCTCATCGCCGCCAGGATTCTCTTTGTTTCAAATTCATCTCTTGAAAATCTTTCAAACTCTTGACATTGATTTCAAACTACTTAATTATATATTCATAAGTGTCAGTGTGTCGATTTTGTGACTTCCACTGCTTACTTGTGCAAGTTATATTCGATTATTAGTTTAAATTTAATTACGTACTTCTTTATATTCCGAGCATTAGGGTGGAACTCGTGAATTGGGCACAACTAATAATTGGACACAAAGGAGAATTCTACATTTTGTTACAATGTGGTTAAAGTAGAAACAGGCTCAATATATATTCTGTAGATAAATCGCACATTATAAAAAGGGACAGACACGTCTGAGACGGATCTACTTCTGAAAAGAAATTATTCATTATTGCTCTTTCTCAAACTCCTTAAGAAAAGCAATAAAAGAAACCAGCACCATATCGTTGTCTTGATATCATGGGAATAAAAGTTCTCCTTGAATTTCACTGTAAATACACGATTACTTAGTCTGTCTGAGACCTAATATAATAAACACATGAAAGCTGTTCATTTTTAGCGTACAAAAAATCTCAAAGTATGTGACCTACTTTTCAACCCACTTTTCGGTATTTTATATACACCTGTAATTAACTCTTTCTGGTTTATTATATATTACTCACGTTCCTGAATAACCTCAATCCTAATCATGTATGCATAATAATAAGCATTGTATATGTTTTTAATTGCAGAAGCGGTAGTGCGTCTTGATCGAAGTACTATTTCCACTGATGAAGGAGATGGTTTGGTCAATATTGGCGTTTCATTAACTGGAACTTTGGATATTTCCGTAACAGTCAAGTAAGTTATAGCTGACTCAACTTGAGGGTTGTCCAGAAGACGAATATTACTGCTTGAACTTGCTATATTGGTGGTTTTTAGACATTTTCATGTGATCGTTTATTATGAGGTGTTGGTGGTACCGAGCTAATTAATGTGACTACGACCATGGTTTAATGGTTTGACTCTTAAGGCTAGCTGGTTTACACTATCAAAGTTTCGGTGATGACATTGGTATAAATTCTAACTTTTGAAGGATTTGTAAGAAATGTTTGATGGAACTGATTCAGTGTTAAACAATCAGTCATTTCCCTCAAAATTTTCTTGCAAATCATTCAAAACTTAGAATTTACCCATCAAAAGATTTCTAATCACAGAAACTTATATAGTGTAAGCAAGACTTTACAGAGTGCAGTTGTCTGTAGCTTACTTTTCATCTATGAAAAACTGTTTCTTTAATCTTCTTTTCCGTCATACTCTAAATTTCATTTGTATTCTTTTTCCACATTATTTTCTTCCTAACTTGTAGCCTGGCAGCTAATGGATTGACAGCCACAGAAAACAATGATTTTATTTTCAACGACCAAGCAGTCGTGTTCCAACCTGGGAATACTCAAGTCACACGTCAAGTTGTTATCAATAACGACAATGCCGTAGAAGCTTTGGAATTCTTCAATGTAGTACTTACCTCAACAGATGGGAACGTTGAAATTGGAGATCCAGACAGAACTATTGTAACCATAAATGATAATGACGGTACATCTATTCAATTTTTCATAGTTGTGATTCTTCTCTTCTCTATCTGCCCTCTCTTATATATCTTTTCTGGCATGATTTTTAGTATGTGTATTTTTGGATTATTATAAAGGAATGCAATGTATTTTCGTTTCGACAAACCTCATTTTATCTTTGTGCCGTATAAGATAATATTGGATGAATTACATGTTTCCTTCCTCTTTCCAAAAATTCATCTAGTCAAAAAGTTGATTAAATATTTTACAACAATGATATATTACATTTCTTTCTACAATAAACCAAAATGTCATCTTAATATTACTGGGATCATAAATGTATTGAAAATTCGTTGAAATTTATTTGATTTTTTTTTCAGACGCTTCATTGTTTTTCCAAAGTGCTACTTACACCGGATTAGAAGATAACGAAGAGGTTACCTTAACCGTTGTCCTGGCAACCACCGTTCCACTTCAACGACAAATTATCGCAAGGTAATAAAGTACTCGCATATTTTAGACATTACTGGCAAAGTTTCAAACTTTATCGGATGCCAGTCAGTGTATGGTGAAAGGGAAGGCATTTAAGAATTTGGCATCACGGCCACACCAGAATGTTGGAGGATTTTTGGAAATGTCAAGCGAAAACTATAAATTATACATATTTTAGACCTTACCGGAAACATTGCAACCACACGAGCGTCCATTACAGACGGGAGTTTCTCACACATAGACGGATTTTCTGGTGGTGCAGGGGGGTGCTACCCCCAATATTAGCTATAACCCCCCCAAACAAAATGTCCACCCCTCCAAAAAAATTTTCAACCCACCCCCCCAATATTCGGCATAATAAATAAATAAATAGTCCACTCCAACGTGCAGAGTGTTGATGATACAAAATAAACGTAGGAGTACACTCGAACAGAAAAAGACAGTGCAACACTCTGAAACTAATCGCTCCTCGCTTGCATTCACTGGTTTATTGGAGCAATTGTAGCGTTTTGAAACTCTATTATCTTCCCTGAATAGAGTTTGCAGTGCCTTGTCATGCGAATAGCTTGCACGCTAGGAACATTTGGAATTTTTACGAACACTATTTTTAGTTTTTAATTCTTTTAGGAAATAGACTTGCCTAGATTTAATCTTTACGCCCCAAATATTATTTACATCGGAGTTGCATCATAAATTGTACTCGGATTCAAACAACACAATGTCAATGACTTTATAAAAGTACTGTAAAAGCATATTGTGTATTGGCCTATTGGGTTTACACTTTTACAGGTTCATTTCACTTTAAGTCTTTAACTCTCTCAAGTCTCAACAAACAATTGGACATGTTAAATCCATTGATATGACAAATTGACCACTTCAAAAAACTTTTTTCGAATCTAGAAATCATGATTTTTTTCAAATTTTTGCTGGTATACTTTGTTTTCCGCTCTCTAGACTCCCCCTCGCGGCTATAGTGCTCCACCCCTAGAATATAGACCTTACTGGGGGTTTGGTGACACTTTGTCTTGCTTCAGTCACCTGCTCACGGCTCACCCCCTAAAATTTCTGTCACCACCCCAGTAATAAATATGAAAATCCATCTATGTTCTCATAAACGGCAGTTTTAAACAACAATTTCCAACATTGTGCAGAATCAATAGAAGCCAAAACTCTTGAACAAAACTCTTGAACAAAACTCTCAAATTGTGGTTGAACCGGGGCGATTATTAAAGAGTGGGCGTTTATTAGGTTATTTGCGGTAAGGTAAGCCAGCTAATGAATAATCAAATATTTGTTTTTAGATTTACTTTAGCAAGCGGAACTGCAGTGTCACCTGAAGATTTTCCATCCACCACCACCGCGACTGTGACCTTCAACGCTGGAGTTGGTAACTTAGCAACTCGAGATGTTGTCATTGCAATTGAAGATGATAATATTGTTGAACCAGCACAGACTTTCCAAGTGACCATAGTTCCAGAATCAGGAGCTAATGTCATTAATCCAGGAACAGCTACAGTAACTATCCTAGACAATGATGGTAAGTTGTAGTCGTTGTGTACGTCATCAATAGCAACGAGCTAGGCTGCATGACAGACGGTCTACCCGCAAAACACCCGAATGCCCGCCTGTCGGGTGTTCCATCGTCAGACCGTCTATCGTGCAGGCTAGTAACAAGCAAATTAATAGATGTGTTTCAATAAGCGTTACGGGATAACCAGTGGTGGGAAATGTAAAATTGCTGAGAATATTTCATGGTTCCATAAATTAAATTATATCTCTTAATTTTATCTACTGCATGCGTACATACAACATCGTTTTCTCACTGTACAGTGTAATATAGGGTGTCCACGGGCCTTGAAAACTCTGGAAAGTCCTTGAATTTGAAAAAAAGGAATTCAGTCCTGGAATTTCTTTCCAGCTGTGCTGATAATACATGAATTAAAGTATGAATCTTGTACAAATAGAAATGTTTCCTTGATTTTACCGAAAAACGTCCTGGAAAAATCAGTGAAATGAATATAACTGGAACGCTATATCCAACCGGAAATTTGAAGCCAAACTTGAAGGCCAGTCCCAGTCTTTTCACACGTGCAAAGAGTGGTCAGTCAGTCAATCATGATATAGACACGCATGTCTGGGGGTCATGATCAAGATTTGGCTTCAAGAAATCTATTTATCTGAAGGTATCGTTCCAGTTCTATTCATTTCAATGGGAAAAATCCTTCAATTTGATTTTCAATAAAAAGTGGAAACACTGATAACAACTGTGGATCACCATCTGCTTCATCTGCTGTACGATTGTGTAGGGTGTGGCTTCTGCCGAATAAATTTAGGTATTGAAAATGTCGTGTGTTTTTTTTAGTTGTCTCAATTCGCTTTCTTCAAGATGTCTATCGCTTTCCTGAAGATGCAACTAATACAAACGTTAATGTGGTTGTCCTGTCCAGTAGTCCACTGCAGAAATCAGTCACTATCGGGTAAGAATTTTATTTCATTTGACTGGTAGAGGAGGTGAGGGGTGCACCCCCCCCCCCTGAAAAACTTTGAGTGATAGTTGAACAACTGTGTAAAAAACTGTAACAATGATTTCTCAACCAGGAAAACATTGGTAGGCTATAAATGAAGATCTGTATTGCATGAAATTTAAGGCAAAACGTGAGAAGAGCTGTGATTTCCATCAACAAAAGGTGGTCATATGGAAGCAACCTAAATTCGCCCCCAACATTTCACCTATCGTTACTGTCTAATAATTCTTCCATACAGCTGAATGCTGAATTCCAAAGGATACATGTCAAATGTGACAAAGGCGAAGGTTTATTAGGGCGCCTCTACACACTAATATCACATATTGTCTGCAATTAAGATGTTCCAATGGCGTAATTTTGGGATTTCAGTTGACGGGCAGAATAACACAAAACGGCTATTTTAATGTATTGATCGAGTTTAGAGACAGTTTAAAACTCAAAAGATGAACTACCGTTCAGTTTTTCTTGCTACAATCATTCTGATAGAAGAGAAATTGTCCACAAATTGTTTGATTGCCCATCATTTGGATAAAAAGTCCAAGTTATTAAATGGCTGAACGATAACAAGTTGTTGGAACCACTTGCAACACGTCTGACAAATCAACCACCTTGTAACCAGTTGTCGTTTTTACGTCACAGGGTACGAAAGACTTACAGTAGCAGTTGTAACTCATTAGTAAAGCCACGTGGAGAAGCCACGATTGCATCTTTAGATCACCCCTGATCAAGACACTAGACTGGAGTGTCGAAACGTTGTGTCTTGATTACAATTCGACTGGGCTTTGTAATCATATATTTAAACCAGAGTAACGGGCGAAACATGACTTTAGAACTGTTTACTTCTGAAAAAGGTCTCTGTAGCTTTGTGCGCGAGTTTACTCATTTGCATCCGTCAGAAACACAACATCGCCGACAAAATTGCTAGTGTGAACCAGGCTTAAGGTAATTCCGCAGTTTTGCATTGCGCACTTTTACTGCGCACATCTTATAACTTATAATTTCATTCATTATACGTACCGTTTCAAAAAAGATCATTTTATGACAATTTTATGTTACTTCAAAACATCTTTGTTTACATTCGTGCAAAGAATTACGTTAAAATCAATGTTTTCAAAAAGGGCATGCAAAAGTGTAGCTAGGGTTCCTGTGTCTGTAGTATATTTATTTACTTGTATTTCACGTTTTAATGCCACAATTCTCTAAAAAGATCGGTGACCCCCGTTTTTTAACTGATAATTTATTTTGAAAAAAAATCCTTTATCAATGCATGTTCTCAAAGAAAGATATGTAAAGAAATGTGGAAAAGACATTTGTGTATCAGAATTGTACACGTTAGTAGTTTCATTTTGCTCAAAACACAATATTTTTTCAAAAATGATTACAAGATAGGTTTAATTACTAATGCAAAATCCGCGCTAAAAACGTCAATAAATATCGGGCTGTTGTGATTTTGCTGTTACTCGTAATGAGCGTCAAGATGGCGCCATATTGGGGTAAAGGTGGTATATTGTGACTGTCATATCTTCTTAACGAGTTCGGTGACCCCAACTTTTTGTGTGATTTTACTTTAAGTATATCATAAACTCCATGCCTGGGAAGTTTCAGCACATTCTCATTTCGGGAACAATTACTGCGGAATTACCTTAAAGGGCATTGACGGAAAACACTTTTGTGCCATAGCCATCATAGGTATGCCTTGTGGCAATTACTGTTCGATTTCCTTGGTATCGCTTGTTGCTATCGAGACTAGTTGGCCCACAAACGGCACATACCTCCAAACACCTGTACTCTTCTGTTAATTGAGTATTAGGTAAATTCGCACATTGAATTAATTAAAAAATTATGTATTTGTATTGCAGGCTCGCTTCAGAAAACAATTCAGCCATAGCTAACTTGGATTATACACCATTGTTTGCGAATAATGTCATATCTATCTCTCCTTCTGATGGAGTACAAAAATCCATCCCTGTCAACATTATAAATGATGGGCTATTTGAAAGCGAAGAAAACTTTAGACTTCGGTTATCTAGTTCTGATGCCTCAGTAACAGTAACTACGCCTAATCTGGCGAATGTTTTTATTATTGACGAAGATGGTAAGATATATGCATGTAATGTATTTAACGTAAATCGTAAGCTCCATCTCAAATCCCACCGCACAATCCCGAGTTCCATAGCACTTTTTCCAATGCTTCACCACGACGATTCCGACAACATTGACAATTTCCCGACGGGTCTCAACGATAGGGGGGCATGCCCCCCCGGCCACGGCGCCACTTCATGTTTTCCTTCTGGAAAGGACTTGCCTATCTTTTTCGGTTTGTCAAATTAGTGACTGGGAAAATGGGAATGAACTCCACCCTTTCCCTCTCCCCTTTTGAAATTCACAACAACGAAAATCCCCCTTGCTGACTTGCTGAAAAAATCGTATTATATTGATATAGCATGTAATTTGAATCCAGGGTCTAGGGTGTCTGAATAAATATATCATGCCGTTTCGTACCTGACAGAGTAGAACTTACTTTTGTGTAAGTGGATAAATAGCATAGAAATATTAAACCTTTTATATCTGAAATATTTCTATTGTTTATGTGATAAATAGCCACCCCTTCCGCCATCTAGATAAGCCTTGCCAATATGGCTTCTCCCCAAACTTGCTTGAAATAAAAAAAGTGGATAATAAATTTAGGTGTATAAGTATATAATATAAACAAAATTCAGTTGGTTTTAAGATGATTTTGTAATGAAATCAAAATATCACTTTTTGCTTTACTTTT